GCCCAAATCTATTGTCTTATAAGTGTAAGGGTTTTTTTTAACAGCTCCGTGCCCCATGACCTTCACACATTTGCTGCTGATGTGTTCATCTGATAATCACTGACCACTTCCCCCAGGTGTCCACAGACGCTCAGTCTCTTGCCTGTCAGTATTTATAGCTTCTCTTGTTTCCACTAACAAGACACTCCCATTCCTCCCTGCCTCCTGATGTTGCTCTATGCATAATCTTCCCATATAACACCCCATGAACAGGCCTTCACAGCCCATGGGTGGCAGAGTTTGGGGAAAATCAATTCGCTTGGTTCTCCAGGCCCATGTCCAAGGCAGCACAATTGTGAAGATTAGCTTCAGCTGACCTTGATCTGCTCTCAGCCTGGAGAACACTGCTGCTTTGTCAAGTGAAGAGAGTGCTCCATGCTCAGCCAAATACCTGGGACATGGCCCCCTTTCTTCATGGGCAGTAGAACCCTAACCCATCTAGTTTTATTACCATACCTATAATATCCATTGTTTTGTAAGCTTTTCTTTGGAACTCTTAAACATTAAGGATACTACTCTTTTTAAATTTTAGTTATTTAAGTGAGATATAGAGTTACAGGCAGAAAGAGAGACAGAAAGATCTTCCATCTGCTGGTTCACTCCCCAAATGGCTGCAACATCTGGAGCCTGGACCATCCAAACCCAGGAGCCAGGAGCTTCTTCCAGGTCTCCCATGCAGGTGCATGTGTTAGAGTCGACCGCCCGAAAAACGTCACCAAGAGACGTCTCTTATGCAAACAGCAAGGGGAAGCTTTATTGATTATCCAGCATGCTGGGGCTGTCTGATCATCATGAGCAGAGCAGCCACGAATAACTAAAGGTTAGGGTTTATAAAGGCAAAAACCGCAAAACTGGGAAGGGGAAGAGAATACACGGTTGTTAAGCGGTTGCTAAAGTCTTACAATCAGCAATTATGATCTTAAGACATAGACAAATCACATCTTCATTATTAGCCCAGGTAACCCAGGTGCAATCTTTCTACTTTTAAGCTTGAGCAATCATGCTAGGGGTTTTCTGTGCTCTGTCAAGGGTGATGTAGTGCACTGCTATTGTCCGACTATTTGAGATCATAGTTTCGGACCAGAGTCTCACGGGGGGGTGGGGGGGATTGCTTTCCCAGAATGCAGTCTCAAGTGCTCCAAAATGGAGTCCCTACTGTCAAGGTGCTACTTCACTCTGTTTTATTTTTACAGCTGCACCAGGAAGGTTTAAACCTGTAAGCTTAAGCTTAACTTTTTACACCCGCACATATACAATTTTAACTCTTCACATGGGCCCAAGCAGTTGGGCCATCTTCCACTGCTTTCCCAGACCATAGCAGAGAGCTGGATTGGAAGAGGAACAGCTGGGACTTGAACTGGCACTGGCACCACAGGCACGGAGGCTTAGCCAATTATGCCACAGCACCAGACCCAAGGATACCATTTTTATGATCATTTTCCTTTAGGTGTTTACATGAAGGAAAACTTCTGTGTATATGAGGGAGCTTCAAAAAGCTTGTGTAAATTTTGCATTGTTTATTTTTATTCCATTTTCCCACAAACTTTTAGAAGCCCATGCAACACACAGGACAGACAGCAAACAAGGGTAGTCAATGAAATACAACTGCTACTCTATTATAGAAATTCCTATGGCAAAATAAGTCATAGAATAACCTCCCCCTCTTTTCTCCCACTTGCAGCCCAAAATGTTTTTCCATGCTTAGTACGCACATAGTTAAAAGTTTATTATTATAGCCTTGGAGCTGCTCTTACTACATTTCTATGACAACTCTATCAAGTACTGGGGTCCTATGGGGAATGGAAACCTACTGACCTTTATTCATTTAGGGAGCAAGCATTTGTGAAGCAACTACAGTGGAATTGACTCGGTCTTAGGCAGTAGAAACATAAGTAGTGTGGGGCTGGTCTTGTGGCACAGTGGGTTAAGTTGCTGCTTGAGACACTGGTATCCCATACTGCAGTGCTGGTTTGAGTCCCAGCTACTCTGCTCCCAACCTAGCATTCCTGTTAGTTCCTCTAGGAAGGCAGCACAAGATGGCCCAAATACTCCACCCCTGTGGAAGACCAGGATGGAGTTCCTGGCTCCTGATTTCAGTCTGGCCAAGACCTGGCTATTGCAACCATTTGAGGAATGAACCAGCAAATGGTAGATTGTCTGTCTGTCTCTCTCTCTCTCTCTCTCTGTCTTTGTTTCCACCTCCTCCTCTACTATTACTCTTTCAAATAAATCTTTAAGAATCATTTAAAAAACAGAAACACAATGGTGAACAAGTCAGAGAAAAACCTCTGTATTCATGGAGCTTATATTCTAATAAGAAGAGTCAGCAATTAGACAAATAAGTAAATAATATAAAGCATGCTAGTGATGAGAGCTAAGAAGAGACGCAATCAAGCAGGGAAGGAACTTGTGGGAGTTGGTAAGGTAGGGCAGACCTGACTTCATGGCTGCACCTTGGGAGAGAGGGCACGAGGGGGAGAGGAATATGAGAAAATTTGTGGTTAAAGGGGAAGCAAGCATTTCCAGGGAGTGAGGGTGAAATTAGCCTCCCAAGCTGTGGCATACTCGCAACACTGTAGGAGGAATAAAAATAGACTCATTTCACAGAAGCTATGGAAGCACTCTGCCTGCCCTCCCTGTTGGTGAGCTTCTGGCCCTGTGCTGCCCACGATGGTATTCAAGATTCAACTCTAAAATGACTTACAAAGAAGTCTATAATATTAGGAGCATCAGATCTGAGGGCTGTGACGTCATCATCCAAAAGCCCAGAGAAAGGAACTGACTTTCCCAAAGTCGTGACCCCAGTGAAACGCAGAGCGAACTGGGGACTCGGGTGTCCCCTCCTCCCTCCACCCCTGCCCTGGCTCCACTGCCCCTCCTTTCTGTCATCCCGCCTTCCTGCCTGGCTTTGAAGCCGCCCCCCGCCCCAAGCCACCGAAACTGTTCTCATGAGCTACAGCTTCCCCATGATTCCGGTAAAGTCCATCTCCTTTGGGAACTGAAGACGCTGGCCAGGACAGCCCCCTACGTTTGCACTCCTGGGCTGCCGGGGACCAATCTGTTAGATATGTTGGCGGACAGGACTGGAAAGAAAACTCTGAAGAAGGCTGTTTAGATCCCTGTCCTGCGTTCTTTCCAGTGGTGCCTCATCCAGCTGTTCTCACCTCACCAAGGACAGCTTGTCGTCTCTGCTCCACCACCTGTGGCTCTCCAATAACGGAAGCTTAATTCGATGATGTATTTACTCCCAAAAGCACAGACAGGGCCAGGTGCTCGAGCTTAGCAAGCAAGGTCTGGTAGCACAAACTGCTCTGTTCCCAGGAAGAAAAGTATATCTTGGACCAGAACTGAAGTGGAAGACTTCAGATCCGCATTGATGTAGTATTTTTCTCTGGCTATGTTTGGTCTGTAGCAAGCAGAGGCACCTGAAATAGTTTTGTTGCCCTAGGAACACATTTTAAGGTTCAGGATGTTCTTTTTGCAAATAGCCATTGTAGTGCCTCAACCATCGAATGCCTCACTGGTGGGGATTTTAAGTGTGGGAAGGACGGAAAGTGATGGGAACTGGCCCTTTTATTTTCTCTGACTCCAACTGTTCAAAGAGGAGCTCTAAGAAGCTTCCAGCAACTCAAGGGAGAACCTTGGTCCCATTTCTGCTGATTCACCATGTGGGATGTGAGCCTGGTCGACGGGGAAGAGGCCAGGGGACAGAGGATGAGCCGATGAGTGCACGGAATCCTTCTGGGGCTGTCTCTGGATGACTGAGTGACCCCTGCGCGCCTTCTTCCTCACTGGCTGCATGCCTCCTGCCATCGGAAAGTGTCGTTGAGAAGAATCTAGAAGTGGAATTAAAGAAATACAAACACAAAAGATCAGCCATTGTGATCACCAACTGGGGACTTAATTTGTGGTTATGGCACAAACCCGTTGTCAATGTGGAAATTAATTGCTTAAGGCACGGTCTCCTTGTGTTTTTTTTTTTTTTTTTTTTTTTTGACAGGCAGAGTGGACAGTGAGAGAGAGAGACAGAGAGAAAGGTCTTCCTTTTGCCGTTGGTTCACCCTCCAATGGCCGCCGCGGCCGGCGCGCTGCGGCCGGCGCACCGCGCTGATCCGATGGCAGGAGCCAGGAGCCAGGTGCTTTTCCTGGTCTCCCATGGGGTGCAGGGCCCAAGCACCTGGGCCATCCTCCACTGCACTCCCTGGCCACAGCAGAGGGCTGGCCTGGAAGAGGGGCAACCGGGACAGAATCCGGCGCCCCGACCGGGACTAGAACCCAGTGTGCCGGCGCCGCTAGGCGGAGGATTAGCCTAGTGAGCCGTGGCGCCGGCCTGTGTTTTTGTTTTTTAATCACAGGATTTGTTTTACTGAGAGAAATCCTGTGTAGACCCCCAACATATAAAACCAGAAATGAAGCGAGTTTTAAGACAAAAAAAAAAAAAAAAAAAAAAAAAAAACACAGAATTACGCTAGTTGGTTAGATATCTGGCTGGGAGATTTTACTTCAAAAACCTATTCGAGTTTTCAGATCCTAAACTTTTTCATGTATCGTCCCAGGTCAAAAAAAAAAAAGGTGAATTTTATAAATTGTACGTTTCAAGATATTTTAGTTTAAATAGAAGTTTCTGACAGACAGTACCCTTAAGGTAAAAAAAAAAGAAAAAAAGACTACCTGTTCTGCCCAAGCATTTCAGGAACAGGGATGCTAAGCCAGAAGAGGTTTACATGGATCCTTATGCCCTACAATGTCAGATGCTTTCAGACTTAAAGATTTTGAAGAATCACCCTGGTATATGGATTTCTCAGAGATTTTCGTTTTTAGGGGGAGCCAGAAGACAGGGCAGGCAGCTCCTCCCACCTCCTGAAAGGGCAGAGGTCAAGGGCATGTGTGCAGAGGCCACGATATTTGGGGCCCCCCTTGCAGCGAGGATCTCTAAGCAGAAGCTATGTCTCCACCCTCAGGGCACCCCTCGCGGGTCAGGAGGCCCTGAAGTCGGAGCTGGGGCCATGGAGGCCTCCGTGCTGAGCCCCACGTCCTGGGAGAAGCGGCGAGCCTGGGTCCGGCAGAGCCGCTACTGGCAGGCCCAGGTCCTGGAGGAGGAGGCCGCGGCCGCCCTGCAGGAGGTCCCAGAGCTTGAGCCTTCCAGCCTGGACGACGTTTTCCAGGAAGGTGAGACACGGCTGGACGTCGCACGGATGGCCACGCCTTCGGCCCGGGGAATGGGACAGCAGGTGCGGGCCCCTTGTCTAGGCTGGGTTCCCAGGGAGGCTCATTCTGACAGTTCAGATGAGTTTGGGGGAGAGGGTAAAGTAATATAAGAAATGAGTTCCCTGAGGATCAGGAAGAAGAAAGGGTCTCATTTCTGCACCATCCTGAGAAGCTTCCCTGCACCCCAGGCTACAGCTTCCCTTACAAATGCACAAAGATGGCTGCACCCCGTCTCTGTAACAAGGCTCGGGCCAGGGTGGACGCCTGGGCTGCGGCCACTAACCGAGCTGTGTGGCCTCGGAGACGGCACTCCCATCCCCTTTCTGAGATCAGACGAGATCGGGCGCATGCAGGGTGGTATGGCCGTAGACACTCCCATCCCCTTTCTAAGACGGGTACCTGGTACCTTTCCCACGCGGCTGATTCAAATGAGACCACAGAGGGAAAAGTAAAACAGCGGTTCTGACAGACATAAGCCTACCTTTGCTTGTTCACTAGGAAACAAAAAGTACAAGCACAGGTGGCGCTTTTTTTTTTTTTTTTTTTTTTTTGGAAGGATCTACCCCTGTTTCTAAAACCTGGGAGAAAGAGGGCAGTAAGTAACATCTTGGGCATTTTTCAGGTTCCTGGAAGGAAGGGAAGAAACATCCAGTATTTTAACATATGGGTGTGAGCCTCCCATATCTTAAAAGAAAAGCTTTATGGAGAAAATAGATTCTTGTCACAGCTTCTGCGAGGCTGAATTTGTAGGAGGGTGTGGTTTCCAGGGGGGCTCTGGTTTTCTTGAGTTTCACATCGAGAGATGTCTGACTTTTGCAGGGAATCCAAGCAGCAAGATTGAACACTGGCTGCTGGACTGTGGGTAAGTGCTGGGCGGGCACCGGGGTTGGCTGCGGCCGATGGGTGGAGACGCTAACAGGCTTAGTCTTGGGCACAGACACCGGGACATGGGCTTGACTCCGGGACATGGGCTTGACTGGGCCTGAGGAAGTGAGGCTGAGACGGCAGTTGGAGGGGATGTTGTTGGGGTTTGGGGGCCGCTGGGTAACCTGGGCTGCGTATGAGTCAGCTGCAGCGGTAAACCAGGGCTTAGGTAGGCTGGAGGGCTGGGAGTATAGCCTAGATCTGCGCCAAAGCTAAGAATGCATTGACAGCTGCATCCATGGGAGCGGCTGGGCTCAGTTCCAGAGCCCGGCTCCCCTGCTCTCCCCTTCAGACAGGAGTCTTGCATTGTGTTACAGAAGGGGTTCAGACACCTGGCCGTCCCGTTCTTACTGAAGAGCAATCCACCATGGTGTGGTTTGTTTCTACTACAGAACACAGGGGCAGGGGCCCAGGATTTACCAGCCTTCAAAGCAGTGATGAATTGGGGCAGGCAGGCACGTTCAGGCAATTTCTCTGTTCAGAAACACTTTACAAACTGGGACTCCGCACACCGTCAGCCTGTGCCGTTGCAGGCTCAGCCTTGTAGACACAGAGGGAGAGCTTCTGACCTACTTCAGCCAGATGCTCTTGTGAGCGTGAATTCTCAGGATGGATAGTGCCTGCCCGCTGCTGATTTTTCCCTCCAGAAACATCTCAAGTTTTATATAGCATTTCATCTAAACGTATCTATTAAGTGACATAAATAAACCCATCCTTACTAATTTGGTGGGAAATAAACAGCACTGAATAATCCCAGGTTGCTTACTTCAACACTGCCCCGAAGGCAGTGTCAGGGATGATTTACGTTGCGTTGCTTTCGGTTGTGTACAAAACACAGCGTCCTCAGCCTAAGCACAATTCATGGACTTCGCACTCAGTTAAGGAGTCTGCAAAACGGAGAAGTACAGGGACGATAGTGAGAGGAAGGTTTTCAGGTTTAGATGAGAAACAGGGTGAGAACTGTCTTAGGACTTAAAATGCTCTGGCATATACGCAGAAGTGGGCGGCCGGTTAAAGTCTTTGTCTCATTAACTACTCTGCTCTTATCTGCTCGCATCAATGGTGATTGATTGTGCCTTTGCTAACAGTTTGGTTGTCTGAATGGCCAGAGCAGTGCCGAGTGGTTTACAAAAGTGAATTCTCAGAAAAACAGATCCTACGTTCTAGACATGGCTTTCCCCTCCCTCCCTCTACAAAGATAAACCCTGAACCAACATGTGATGAAAAGGCAGGCTGCTGAGTGAGAAAGCTTCAAAATTGGAGTTTAATTCTCATGTGACTACTGTGGCAGCAACTGTAATCAACTGGGCTTGGCATTGTGGCACAGCGGTTTGAGCTGCAGCCTGTGTTGTTGACATCCCATCCACTTCTGATCCAGCGCCTTTCTAACGCTCCTGGGAAAGCAGTGGAAAATGGCACAGGTGCTTCGGTCCCTGCCACCCGTGTTGGATACCTGGATCGAGTCCCTGACCCCTACCTTCAGCCTGGCCGGGCCCTAACCACCGGGGCCACTTGGGGAGTGAGCCAGTGGATGGAAGATCTCTTTCTCTCTCTGTCTCTCCTTTTCTTTCTTCCACTCTGCCTTTCAAATAAAGAAAATAAATCTTTTTTAAAAATAATAAAATTCTTTCCATAGCAGACTCATGATCAGTAGAGTGGGAGACCAGAAAAATCAAGTTTCAGAGTGTCGTGTGAGGTTGAAATGAGATGATGTGTGTCTGAGTGCTTTCTTCTCTGTAAGAGTGTGCAAGTGGGGAGGTTTACATGGGAGGAGCTGTATGCCTACTTCCAATGGCACAAAGTAAGTCCATCTGTCTATGTACATCTCTTATATCAGAAAAAGTGTGTCCATAGATGAATCACAGCAACTCAAGGATAATGCTTACAGTAGGAATGAAGACAATGGGAAAGAGTGGGAGCTGAGTGGGACCTTAGTTATCATTTTAGTAATTTATTTCTTTTAGAAGCAAATATGGCAGAATGTTGATGTGTATGGAAAAAAAGTGGTAGATGCAAATGTGTCTGTCATGTTTGCTTTGTTTTCCCATTTTGGAAAAACTTCAATACTTAAACCTTTACAAGCCTGTAAGGGAAGTCTAATAAGTTTACAGTTGTCTGTGGAAAGAGTATTGTTAGACTCAGCAAATCTTTCCATTTTTTTTTCTATTTTTTAATACTCTATAACTAGGGAGTGTTTTTTTACTTATTTTTTTTACTCATCTGGGGAAACCAAAAATATTAAAGGGTGATAAAGATTACCAACAGTGAGAGAACACTTGACTATAGTTGATAGATAATGAAGAGAACAAAGGAAAAAATGCATCCCAAGTCACCACAACCTTGGATTTGTAGGCTGCCAAGTGCACTGAGGAAAGAGGACGGACCAGGAAGCCACGGGCACTTCTGGCTGCCCAGTGTGTTGGCAGGTGCCCTGGGAGGCTCTTGACAAGTTGTGTCTCAAGACCAAGTAGTTTCCACTTTCTTTGCACTGCCAAGAACCCTCAAGGAGCAAGAGAGGTTTCTTATCTGAGGAGCTCTTCAAGAAAGTCTACCAGCTTCTGGCAATTCCATATCCGTGTCTCTGGGTGCTGTTGATCTCATGGCAGAGCCGCGGGGCTGCTCCAGGATTAGGTCGTGCCTGTCTTCAGAGCTGTGCTGCTCCTTTCTGTTTGCTCCTCTGAAGCTCTCAGAGGGTTTTCTGGGACACAAAATGTGTCTCATGAATCATCAGAGGCAGGATTGGAAGCCCCAGAATCATCTGTGTGGGCATCAGTTTAATTCTCTGCAAAGCAGGCATTCATGGAAGCTGCTGGAGGAAGCTAAAAATAGCTATGTGCTGCTTCTCACAATTATGCCTGCCTCCCACTGTTTGGTTATGAACCGTGTATGCAGGAAGAGCAGCACTCTGATCTGTGATGCTAAGGGACTTTCAACATAAAGCTAGAAAGGGCCAACTATGGATCTACTTCCTAGTCATTGATTTTTTGAAAATTTCCATTCTTTTAAATTTCTTTTTTTTTTTTTTCAAAATTTATTTCATTTTATCTGAAAGGCAGAGAGCTAGAGGGACAAAGAGAGAGGGCTTCCATCTGCCATTTCACTCCCCAAATGTTCCCAACATCCAGAGCTGGGCCAGACTGAAGCCAAGAACCTTGAACTCAAACCGGGTCACCCAGGAGGGTGGTAGGGATGCAAGAACTTGAGCCATCACTTGCTGCCTCTCAGGGTGCACATTAGCAGGAAGCTGGGATCAAGAGGAGCTGGGACTCGAACCCAGGCACATACGGGATGTGGGTGTCCCAGGTCTTAACCACTACGGCAAATACTCCCCTAGCCATTGATGTTTATGGTCTAACCATGGAAGGCCTGGGACCTGGGTGAGGACCATGAAGTTTCAAATCGCCATGCTCAGTGGGGTGGCATCCATAGAGCCAGGCCTGTATCCTTCACATTCACATAGAAACATTTACTGCCCCAGGCTCATCCAGGGCTGGGCCTCATAACAAGAATATTTAGTACTGAAGGACCCCAAAAGAGGTGTCCTTTTGTGACGACCCCAGAAACACAGATTCCAGACCAGACGATGCAAAAGGCAGGAGGCAGTTTTATTTCATTTGCGCAAATGGGCCCTCTTCTTGCTGCCGCAAGCAGCGGGGGCAGAGAGGAGCCCCGAGCAGCTATCTCACACAGCTTTTAAGGGGCAAAACCACAAAATTAACATACCATAGGGTGGCATAAGTTTATTGGGTAACTACAAGGGGAGGAGGTCGTCGAGGAGGAGGAGAAACGGGGGGCTACGTGCCCTACGTGTCTAAGCTTGGACAAGGGGAGGGGGTCCTTGAAGAGCAGAAAGGGGTGGCTACGTGCCCTACGTGCCTTGTGGTTTTTTTGTTAAGCTTGAACAAGCACAGGGGAGGGGGCTTATGTGCGTACCAGGATGTTCTGTCGCCCTTATCTCTGGGTAGTAGCTATCTGCTTTCTCTGTGAACTTAGTTTACTCCCCATTTCCCAGGACTGTTTTATTAAGGCCATTTTTATGGCGGCTCTTGGCCGCTCCTTTCAGTACTTGCCAAGGCACAACCAGAGAAGAGAAAGGTCAGATGAGCCCCCAGCACAGTTTTATATCTACTGAGTAGCAATGAGTTCTGTTCTGGACACACCAGGAATTTTACCAGCACTATTTTCAAATGTAAATTCTGCTGAAGAAGAGCATGCCACGCCTATCAGTAGCATTCGTGGCATTTTTCTGTCTAATATAAATTATATTGCAGCCTGATGTATTTCCTGAAAAGTCAATGAGCACTTGAGTCATGGGTCAATGACTTCACAAAGGGGATGCACCCTAGAAACCTGAAGCAGAGTGTCACCCACACCTCAAAATCCCCTGTTCTGTCCCCTTCCACTCACAGCCTGTCTCCCTTCATTACCCTGGCTTGTAACATCCGAGACGAACTCTGTGCATACAGAATCATACAACATGTGCGTTTTGCGTGTGCGTCTGTTGCACGGCATCCTGCTGTGATGTTTGCCCATGTGTTTGCTTGCAGCCGTAGGTCATGCTGTCTCACTGTCGTGTGCTAGATGTCAAGCAGTTCTTCCCTTTTGTACAGATATTTGGAAACTTTCCTTATGGGTTACTGTGACTAGCATTTCTTTTGGCAAACACATACAGACATGTTCACTGCATACAACATAGGTACTTCAGAAAGTCTGTGGAAAAAATGGAAATAAATGGTAGGTTTATTTCAGTGAAAAAAAAAAAAAAAAAAACTTTGAAAGCTATGCCCAGGGTTTTCATAGCCTACATTTTCCATGAACTTTCTGAAGTTCTCTTGTGTGTTTTCTAGTAATTGCATTACGTGTTGAGCATCCCTAATCTGAAAATGTGAAGTCGGGAATGCTGCAGAATCTGCCACTTTTTTATCTCTGCAATGATAGCACAAGTGAAAACTTTCACAGCTGAACTCGTGTGACAGGTTGTAGTAGAAACCCTGACGCACTAACAATACTGCGTGAAATATCCTTCAGGCTGTGTATGTATGAAGCAGAGACAAATTGCATGTTTAGCCGTGGGTCCCATCCCCAATATAGCTCATTAGGTATATGCAAATTTTCAAAATAAAAAAAACTGAAATCTAAAACAAACGTTTTGGATACGGGATATTCAACATGTACCATATAGCTACAATGCAAGCATGAAATCCAGTAGTAAATCATAATATTCTAAGAGTATTCAACCATATTAGTTATAGTTTTAGTAGCAAGTAGGCATATTAGTTTATATTAATATTTTAATATTATATGCAAACATGTCTGTAGTTTATTGCAACATGTTTATATAATTTTTTATTAGGAAGACAGCCATACATTTGTATAGCTAGTGATATTATTGGCTTCCCATTCTTAATTAGCTTGAGTAGCATTTTAAATTATATGTCATTTCCTTTTTTAAAAAGATTAATTTGGGGCCAGCATTGTGGTCTAACAGGTTAAGGTGCCACCCGCAACGCCAGCATCCCATACGGGTGCGAGTTCAACTCCTGGCTTCACTTGTGATCCAGCTCCCTGCTAATGTGCCTGAGAAAGCAGTGGAAGATGGCCCAAACCCTTGGGCCCCTGCACCCACATAGGAGACTTGGAAGAAGCTCCTGGCTCTCTGGCTTTGGCCTGGCCCAGCCCTGGCATTGCAGCTATTTGGGGCGTGAACCAGTTGATAGAAGATTTCTATCTCTGCCTCTTTCTCTCTCTCTCTCTCTCTTTCTCTCTCTGTCACTCTACCTTTCAAATAAAATAAATCTTTAAGAAAAAAAGAATAATTTATTTCTTTGAAAGGCAGAGTGACAGAGAGGAGATTTTCATCTGGTGGTTCACTCCCCAAATAGTCACACAACAGCCAGAGATCAAAGCCAGAAACGCCACACTTCACCCAGGTCTCCCACGTGGGTGGCAGGGGCACAAGCACTTGAGTCACCCTCTGCTGCTTTCCCAGGTGCATTAGCAGTGAGCTGGATCAGAATTAGAGCAGCAGGGACTCAATTAGGCACTCCCAATTTGAGAAGTTGGCATCACAATCAACAGACTAACCCGTTGAACCACAACACCAGCCTCTTTATAACATATCATGATATACAGTGTTTTTTTGAATGAGGACATATAAAAATTCAAATTTTGGAAAACATGATTTTCTTCGCTCCTGAAAGAAAGTACTAGCAAAAGATGTTTATATGTGGAATGATTTATTCAGTGAAACTTAAGTACAGCTGGATTGACAGCTGTTCAACTATTAAACCTATTCCTATTACTAAGCATTTCATGAAGTGTTGCTCCACCAGCCTGGACCACCATTGGTGGATAAAGGAAAAGGCGTTCTTAAGATCAGCTCCAACAGACGCACGCCCGTTGGTTTCTCTGCAATCTCACTTTACACCCCTTCTCTGTGCCAGCCTCCAAATGGGATTACATTCTACACAACTGTACCTTCTATCTTAAAATATTTTAGGAACACAAACTGAACAGAACTCACCCCCTGTCAGTGCTTGAAGAAGACTTAGCTGGTGATAATATCTAGAGATCAAAAGCCCCTCACATAATATCTGAGAACATAACAACAACCAGAACCAGAATGCAGGTGCATCGGTCCCAGTTCAAAACTGTCTCATTGACTGCTTCACACAGCTGCTTTGGTCAGAGAGAATCTCTTTTTGGACCATAAAACCTGTTATTTCTCCTAACATTCCCCCCTTTTGTTTTTTATAAAGCAGGGTTTGTATGGGATTACATTAGTCCCAAAAGTCCAAGAGGGGTAGAGGGACGATGATCTGTTTTTAGAGCTACTTCCTGCTGACATGGGGCGATGATGTACTCTTTGCTGGCATGGGGCGATGTCTCAGGCCACTGTCTCCTGTGTGGGGAGCCGAGTACATCCTTGTAGCAGCATTTGGTTGACTGCCTAGTTGCTGAAGGCCTTCGTTTGTTTCATTATAACCTGCTGCAGACACTTAAACACTGTAGTATAAAGGACAGGGTGAGAATAGTAACCAATGATCCTAAGAGTAGCATAACCAGGTAATGAGAGGATTTTATAGAGGAGAGGAAATGGGGGGGGGGGTGTCTCTGGACCCTTGTGGGGACAGTTTGATGGATGTAGCTTAAAGTTGATTCCAGCCAAGACTGGGAGAAAGGCCACTTAACTTTTGCAGGTAGTGGGGTTTGTCTGTAGAGAAATTGTGAACAATCATACAACATTAAGTGGGAGAGAGGACCATCAGTACACACAGGTTGGGAGTAGACCCATTGGTGGTAGAGTAGAGGTTATGATTACAGAGGAATGAGGCTCAAGTGGGCTAGATACAGAGGACAGAGTTGTTATTAGAGAACCTAAGAAAGGTGCTATCTGAGCTACAATTAAGTTTTCTGATTGAGAGACAAATAGAACCTGACAGAAGGGGCTTGATAATAATCAGGTGGGCTTTAAAGCCTTGTAAATTATGAGGCCCAGACTTATCTATCTCTTCATAGGGTACATCCTACAGGAGGTGTGAACCTCATTGGGGAAGGCACCCTGTTGACTTCCATTACCTAGCTGGCCTGGGAGGAGAGCTGGCCAGTAAAGGCAAGTGGCAACTCCAACAGGAAATATACAGCTCTGCCTGCAATGTTACTGACCCTACTTGGCCATTTCCTCAGTTGCAGCGCGCAGTTGTAGCCAGGTGGCCAAATGGCCCAGCTACCTGAGCCAGGCTCCACCCCCATCCTAATGGGATTCGCTGCTCCTGCTTCCCTGCCCACCCTCAGGCAAAGTTTCAAAAGGGCCTGTTCCTGAACACGTGCTCTCTCTTAGCCCTTCTCTCCTGCTCTCTCTCGGTTCCTCTCTCTAGCCTCCTCCTCTGGTCTCTTGGCTCTGCTCTCCTCTCTCCTCTTCTCTGCTCTCTCTCTCTCCTTGCTGCTCTTCTCCTCTCTGTCTCTCTCTCTTACAGTCTCCTTCTCCCTTTTTCCTTCGCCGCCCCTTCACTCCAGTCTGTAGGGTGTTCCCCAATAAACCCTTTCCCTTAAAAAAAAAAAAAAAAAAAAAAAAAAAACCTGTTATTTCTCCCTGACATTTGTGCTGATTTCCGTTTCTTCCTCTGCTAGAGATGGTAAAAGTTTGATAAGACTATATATCAAGATCTAAAACTCTCTCTACCCAGGATGCCGTTTCTGTCATTTCCTGAAAGACATGATATTGCAAGAACATGATTCCGAGATAAGGGAGAGGGTGAGGGTAGATAAGTGCTCTCCTCAAAGTTACGAGGAAAACCTGTCACCTGGAAGTTACGGCAGCCAAACTCCTGCTTCTGTACTTTTTCCCCTGGTTTTACGTCTGTCTTCTTTTTCTCCTGTGTTAGCGAAAGACTGAAGCAGCATTGCTAAGCTGACGTGAGACAATGGGGCCAAGAGAACAGCAGCATAGTCTAAACTGCAGTGCAGTCCCGTCCCATCTCCCATTAACTCCCTCTGTCAACTTGTCAGGCACATAACCACTATGTTTCCTCTAATAGAAAAGCAGATTACACATCACTGAATCCCATTGGAAACTAACATGAACGTGTGGGGGATATTTAGGAAAAACCCCTTTGAAAATGTAGTGATGTCAGCTGGCGCCGCGGCTCACTAGGCTAATCCTCCACCTTGCGGTGCCGGCACACCGGGTTCTAGTCCTGGTCGGGGCGCTGGATTCTGTCCTGGTTGCCCCTCTTCCAGGCCAGCTTTCTGCTGTGGCCCGGGAGTGCAGTGGAGGATGGCCCAAGTGCTTGGGCCCTGCACCCCATGGGAGACCAGGAGAAGCACCTGGCTCCTGCCTTCGGATAGGCGCGGTGCACTGGCCAGTGTGCCGGCCACAGCAGCAATTGGAGGGTGAACCAACGGCAAAAGAAGACCTTTCTCTCTGTCTCTCTCTCTCTCACTGTCCACTCTGCCTGTCAAAAAATATATAAAAAAAGAAAAAAAATGTAGTGATGTCAACCTGTAAAGTGATTTTTGGGTTTTAGCTCTTCCGAGGAAGGACTTTTGGAGGAAGCAGGACAGTCCATCAATAACGGTGAGTATAGACTCCATTCTCCTGCTGTTCTTATATTTGGACAGTGCTACAGCTGTGTTCATGTGTGTTTGTGCAGGAGAATGTTTAATGTCTTTAAACTGTCTGCAAAGCACACTTCAGCACTTTCAAGGCAAAAAAATGCTAACTCAGCGTCTATACGCTCATGACTATGCAAAGGTTGTCTTCTGCCATGATTGCTCAGCTAACAACCACTGCTGTGAGAAAAGAAGCTTGCAAAATGTGTGTGTGTGTGTGAACACACACCCCCATGTATTTACTGTTTGGCAGAGGATTGTGTACGTGAGTGTGTATTATGGGGGCTGGTTCTTACGGGTGAGTGTCGGTGTGATTCGGAGGTAGCACATGTATAACTGAGGGTGCTCTCATAAACATGTAGACACATAGTATGATTATGTAGCTGTGCAAGTCTTAGAATGTATGTAGATGTTCAGGCATGCATGCGTGTGTGTGTGTGTGTGTGTTCCAGCCTGATTTGCTGTGACCTTGATCTGGTTATCTGGTAGGATGCTCCAGCTTTGAAGATGACCTGACCCTTGGAGCAGAGGGTGAGTGGCGCAGCTCTCTGAAGCTGGCTGGGGTCGGGGAAGAGGCTGTACAGTGGATGAATTAAGGACAGGATGGGAAGGGAGAGTTTCAGGAGGAAGCATCATTGGGGTCTCACCTGCAGGGAAAGAACTATCTCACTAGGATCCAACTTGAAGCACAGCAGGCTATCAAGATTCCTTTGGCCTCTAGAAAGATAATATTAAAAATCGCCATGACATTTGATCCCAGATATCTTTGAGACTATCTTCCGTACAGGAAGCCCACATGAAGTCTGAGGACTGGGTAAGAGAGAGACATGGCACTGCAAGAAAACAAGGGCTTGAATAAAGAAAGGGTGGATGCACACAGCCTGCCAGTGTGTCCTGGGGCCCAGGCAGACTCATGGTGGGGCAGGAAGAGGATCCTGGAGAGTGGCTTGATCTCCTCTAGGCGCAAGGGCTCTCGCCTGGATGTCATTGTGAATCATAAGCTCAGAGGCCCCAAACCAGTTGTCCCTTGTCACATCTGTTCCCTGTCCACTGCCATGCCTAGTAAATTTGAGACTTCATTAAAAAAAGAATTCATGGGGCTAGCCTGCAGCTGCAGCCAAGGAAAACAGAGGGAGTTGAGTTTTCAATTCAGAGGAGCAAATCAAGTGATTGGCATTTTCCCTTCTAACTTGCTCTTGCTTTCTGTCCTTTGTGCAGCCACATTGCTGGCCACCAATGGCAAGCTCTTCCCCAGGTAAGTGTCAATCAGATTCAGCGGGCTGAATGGTCTCCTTCAGGAGACAGCAAGCTAACATCAGATCAAAGAGGCGAACAACAAAGAATGTGAAATGACGATAAACTTCATGGTCTGTGATTATTTTAGAATTTACTACAGATGGGTGAAATGGTCATTTTTCCATGCAATTATTAATAGTCATTGTCTATATTCCCACCAAACTAGGGTTGTTCTGCTTTTTACTTGTTAAACTTCTCATTTGGCAAAAAGGATAAGAACAGAGGACTAAAGACTCATAGTAGAGGATGAGATTTTCCCAACAGCAATGAGGGGACAGACTGAGGTTCTTTCTGCAGGGGGTCTGGAGGGACCCAGTAGGGGTCGCCTTGAAGCCAAGGAGCCTCCTATGACATGAGCTTTGATCTCTGCAGGAGATTCCTCCAGACGGCCAGGCCCTGCCAGCTACATGATCTTGGCTGTAGTTTGGCTTCCAGCAGCATGACTGGTGGGACCACCCAGACCAGTTCAAGGTAGGCGCTAAGCTTGGCAGATGTGGGAGGAGAGGGAAGAATGAGAGGCAGTGGGGAATGAAACCAAGAGCCAGTGCCCATTTTTTTCTGGGACATCTTAACTGAAGTCTCATGGATACTTTAGAATTCTGATATTTGCTTCAAGAATGCTGTGGGGGTGGGGAGCAGATATTTGGAAGAGCATTTTTCAGTAAATGTTTGGAGTCCAAGCCCCACTACCTCCAAACTAGCTTCCTACTAATGTGCAGCCTGGGAGGCAACAAATGATTGCTCAAGTACTTGGTTCCCACCTGGGAGACCTGGATCGAGCCCTGGCTACTGGCTTCAGACATGTAGGGAGTGAACCAATGGGTGAAAGATCTGTGGGTGGGTGTGTGTTCATGTGTGCATGCGTGCCTTCCTCTCAAATAAAATTAAAGTTGAAAAATTTTAAAGAGTAGGCAGTGGCACAGCGGGTTAAGGTGCCACTTGGGGCATCTAAATCCCATATAAAAGTGCCGGGAATCAAGTCCCACCTCCACTTCCAATCCAGCTTCCTGCTAATATGCACTTTGGGAAGCAGTAGATGATGGCTCTAGTACTTGGGTCCCTGTCATTCATGTGAGAGACCCAGATAAAGATCCAGGCTCCTGGCTCAGCCTGGCCCAGCCCCTGCTGTTGTTAGCATTTGGGGGCTGAACAAGAAAATAGAAAATTTCTCTCTCTCTTTCTCTCTCTCTGTTGCCCTACCTTTCATATAAATGAAAATGAATAAACAAAATTATTGAAAATGTATGAAGAGCTGGGGGTGCAGAAGAATCTCAGAGCTGAATGTAATGTATAAAACATGGATGAGCCTCTCCCACTGAATTTGTGCCTCACGAGGGAGAATACTGGAACCATCACCATTCCTGAAGTCACTGTAGGTGCTAATAAACAGTGTCTTGACTAATTGATTAATTATTGGCTGACTGAAGCAATGCCATATTAACTCATTCAGACAATTTCACACCCCATATGTAGGCCAGGCAGTGGCTGTAGGGAATTCCAAACAGACAGACAGCTGGCCTCCAGGAGCTCGACACTTCCATAGAATGAACACGGGAGACACAGTTATGATCCTAAAGCAAGGTAGGAAGTGAGGGGAACCAGGGTTGTATAATGAAAGCATCAGGACTTTGGAGTCAAAGCTGGAAGCTGAGACCTGATGCTGAGACTAACGTTTTGTTCATGAATATTTTCAGGGATTTAGCCTCACTGATCCTCAGCCCAAGCCACACCCCAGTTCAATTAGAATGAGAATGTCTGCAGCTGGGATTCAAGTATCTAATTTTTCTTTAAGTCCCCCAAGGTAACCCTAGTATATAGCCATGGATGAGAGCCACTGACCCAGCCTCTCCCCACACACCCGTACTCTTAGGAGACAGTATGAGTACAAGAGTGGCTCCAGAGGAGCCAGCTGTCAGCTCGTAGCAAGTTGGTCCCTATTCCAACCAAACTGTCCTGCATCCTCTCTGAGAAGGGCGGCAGTGACTACCCAGAGTCTGAGGTCACTCACCGTTCCCCTTGGCCCCACTGTTTGAAATGCAGTTTTTAAGTGCTAGTGTCACCCAGCCCATGGTACTCAGGTTTGGAAGTAGACACAGGTTTGTACCAGAGTGACATGGAGAGGGAGGGGGAGAAGAGAGAGAACAAGAGGGAGAGGAAGATCCATTTGTGACACCAAACTTCTGTCCTGAACACAGTGCTACAAATGGAGTATATTTCCCAAAATCAGGTTTTGAACATAGCTGTGGATTAATTTTCACTCTGAGGGTGAGAATAAAATGAGTTCTGTACTTCTTATATACTTGATAGCATGTATATACTTTATATAAAGTATATAAATGCAATTGTCCCACATGCAGGCTAGGTAGCAAATTACAGAGCACCTAGCAAAAGCCAGATGTGCCACAGCACATGCAAGGGAGAATTGCCCAGTTAGTAACACACCCACAAAGTGTCTTTGCATCTATACTTTTTATTTTTTCAAAGCCCGTTCATGCTTATTTAAATTTTTCTTCTTTTTCAATGAGTTGGTCAAAGTACAAGGCTAAACTTCTGTTCTGTTTTATAGCCAGGATTGCATTGCAGTTCTCTCATTTTGGACGGAGGCTGTAGGTTCAGAGAAGTGAAAGCTTTTCTGGACGTCACAGTGGAAGGTGGAAAAGTGCCCAGAAAGGAGTTTCCATCTCTTGACATGTTTATGAGCTACCCTGGGTCACTCCCGGTCTCACCATTGTCCCCTGTTTACCCAAACTCCCTCCTGGCAGCATCTCAGACATTCTGGACAAGGTGCAAGAAGACGCTGAAGCCGTCCTCTTCAGCCTGGGCTTCGGCCAAGAGGCCCACAGAGACACTTCGCGGATCCCTGCCAGATTTTTCACCACCCCCTCTCAGGCCAAAGGCATTGACTTCCAGCTCTTCCTGAAGGCCCAGGTGCGGAGGATTGAGATGGAGGACCCCTGCCTCATGCTGGCCAGTGAGTGTCCTCACAGACTCCCACTCCACTCCCTGAACTTCCGGCCTTTCGCAGCAGGGCCCACGGGCTCCAGTTCCCACTTTCTCTCCACTCTTCTATTTCCTCTCATGCCATCTTCCTGCAGGAAGGAGAGCTGGGATGCCTGCCTCTTTCTCTTCCAGGCCACTGGGGCTTCCTCTAAGACTTGGCTGCTTTAGCTGAATCAGATCAGCACAATGGCTTTCAATCTTATTCCCACTTCCTGTTCCCAAGGGGAGCATCTGTGGTGAGATGGGGGAGTCAAGAGTTCAAGAAAATGAAGAAAGGGAAACTCGAGCATCAGAAACCCTAGAAACAGGAAGCAGTAGTGGGGAAACTGGAGCCTCTCTGAGTTTTGAATTGGGGAAGGCTTTTGAAGGAGAGATTTGCTCATGATCCCTGGACTCACCATCTTCTGCTCTTGTATCTAGGCAGATTTAAGCAAGTGCAAACCCTGGCTGTCACTGCTGATGCCTTCTTCTGCCTCTACTCCTATGTGTCCAAGACGCCTGTCCAGAAGTTCACACCATCCCACTTGCTCTGGAATTACAACCCATCTGATGTGCCCTCCATCAGGATTCAGGCCCCAGAGCCTGAACCCCAGTCACCCCGAGACCGCCTCCGGAAAGCTATCTCCAAAATGTGCCTGTATACTGGTTCCCGGGATCGGCTGTCACTGCCCCCCACCCCCCAGAAAAGGAACAGTTTGGACCAAGTGGTGTGGGAAGTGATGGACAGAGTGAGAGGAGAGAAACTAGTCCTCCAGCAAGGCTCTGGGATTGAGCGAGACCCCCAGGAAGCTCCTGTACTCCCTGAAGGAGACATGGAGCTGTCCCCTTCTTCCTCTCCATGCGCTTCCCGCCCTAAAGAGGAAACACAGCAGGCAATGCCCATGGTGTTCTCATCATCGCAAACTCTGGAGCCTATCTGCAAGGCACCCTGTTGCACACATTCTCTGCCTAGAGAAGATCCACGGTGGAGTGCAAACCCTGCACAGGTGCGGAGAGAACTGTGGGAGCTACAGGCCACCGCCAAGGGAGCCCATTCCACTGAGGATGAGCCTTTTTGGAAAAGGAAGAGGAGGGCAAGAAAGAGCCTGTTTCAGAAGCAACCCCTGGACACAAGGACTGAGCCGTCGAACCTCTTCCCCAACCAGCAGAAGTGGACGCTGAGCCCAGGGAGGTCAGAACCACGTCAGGCTCAAATCTACCAGCTGCAGGGTGCATTTTACTGGGAGGAGGTGAGTGAGCTGGAGGTGTGTGGTGAAGGCTGGCAGAGAAAGGCTCTGGATTCTTGTCCAGAAAATTAAGCAGTAGGAAATCTTGGGCAAAGGAGATGCAGCCCTGGCTATTGTAGGCATTTGGAGAGTGAATCAGGGGATAGGAGATTTCTCTCTCCCTCCCTCCCTCCCTCCCTCTCTCTCTCTCTCTCTCTCTGTGTGTGTGTGTGTGTGTGTGTGTGTACATGTTCAAATAAATAAATAATGAAGGAAAGAAACCATTGGAAATGAGTTAATACATATAGAAAGAGAAATTAGTCCAGTTTCTTAAGGGTTTTCAGGTTTACAGAAATGCTTTTATAATTGTTTTTACTGCTTATTGTTTTATTTTATTTATTTGAAACACACACACACAGAGCACTTGCATCCACTGATTCACTCCCCAAACACCTGCAACATCCAGGGCTGAACTAGGCTGAAACCAGGAGCCAGAGCTCCATCCGGATCTCCCTCGTAAGTGGCAGGAACCCAAGTACTTGAACCATTATCTGCTACCTCCCAGGATGCCCATTAGCAGGAGGCTGGGTTGCTAGTGGTGTAGCTGGGACTTGAACCAGCCCTCCAAAATGGGATGCCGGTCTCCCAAGTGCCCACTTTAACCTCCCTCACCACGACACCTGCCCTGCTTCTGTGAGTCTCATTTGATCTGATCTGACCTCATCAAGCACACCTGCCCTTGTCATTAGCAGAGGTGTTCATGAGACTGCAAATGGAAGCTGAGCCACAAAGCTATTAAGTCAAACATATTTTGACAAATATGTTACCATAAGCCTATTCAGAATTCTCAGGCACTTAGGACTTCTGTGCTAGAACACGGCAGTGTGGACAGAGCCAAGCCCAGCCCCGGCTGTTCCCTTCTCTCCCCATGCCTAGATCTTTCCTGTAAGGGACTTTCTGCACACATGCGTGAGCACCCCAGACCACACATTCAAACGCCGTAACCCCGTGCCCATATAAGCAGCCATTGACCAGTCGTCAACCAGGTGAATACACTAATGGATGGTCAGACACAGGGCAAAGCCAGTACAGGGGCCTATGAGTGTTTCAAGGCCTTTTGATCAGCAGGTCTGGGGATTCTGGGTAATCAGGGCATGCTCCCCCAGGACTAAGAGCAGGTTTCAGATGGGCGTATCCTCTGAGACCACCAACTCTCCACGCTGTGGCCCTGCTAAACCTCAGGATTCCTCTGGTGTAGGTCTACAGACATTACTACAGATGGCCACAGAGTGTGGGAATCCTTGGCAAAGTTCTCCAGTACTTAACATAAACAGAAGCCGTGACTGTTAGCAATGTCATTTGCATGTTTTTCACCTCTCACGAATGTCGAGCTGCACCTCAACTCCTGCCCTTCCCACTCCTGGGTCCCTGGCACAGCAGAAAAGTCTCTCAAGTGTGCTCAGACTCCTTCCTAAACCTGCCTGCCACCTTGCACCTTCCCAGTGCACCTGCCTCCTTGTTTCTGATGGATCTGCTGGGATTTTGGTTACAGATGCAAAGCAACAGTGAGGAGGAGGAGAGCCCTTGGTCAAGCAGATCCAGGCACCCCAACATCTACCAGATTTGTGCTAGCAAAGACTCAAGAAGTAAGTGCTTTTTTTTTTTCTTTTTACCACCTACCTACTAGGACCACAATGATGATGGAATCAGGGATAATGTGGGGTTTCTCCTCCCCAACATGGTAATAATTGAAATCTTCCTTGAATTAACGAGTCTTGCTTAGAGCTCTGTCCATTTTGGATACCCTGGTAGCATCCAAAGTGGGGTATTCCTATCCCAACACCTCTTTCATCTAATACTCCAAAATTTCTGTGTTACTTGCCCTCTTTCATAAAGATCATTATGGTTCTAATCTTTTAATTCTGTTCTCTATGAGTTTTGGATTTTAATGACTCTTCTGACTGTCCTGCTCACTACTTTTACCTCTGAGGGTATGGCTGTATGGATGCAAGTCACCCCTTACCTGTAGGGGATATGTTCTGGGACCCCAAATGAATGCCTGAAACCATGGGTAGTACCCAAGCCGATAGTACCAACCCTGGAAGCTTCCTGAACGCACACACGGTGGCACCACAGCAGCCGATCTCATAACTGACATAACAGGTGCCAGCGTACACAGAGAGGATACTTTGAATAAAGCGACGACTCATGTCCTGAATGCAAGATTTCATCAACAGGGCTCAATTTGAAATGCGTGAGTTGTTGATCTCTGGATTTTTCATTTATTATTTTTGGACTGTGGTTGACCACAGGAACTGAAATGACACCAAGTGAAACTGAAGGTAAGAGGGGACAGCACACTGTCACTCTCAGGGGAGGTAAATGTTAGAGGGCAGCACCGGCGTTTGTGACGGTGAGAACATTTAAGACCGCTGACCTCTGTCTGGCATGGAGAGGGCTGGACATCCTTAGCCAGAGAAAAGTCAAACAAATGGAGAAGCCAACAACTCTTCCGGGACCCAGCAGAGAGATGGGCATCAGGGAACAACCACTGCTGTCAAACCAAAGAAACTGACAAGCAAACACAGAGATTTGTGCCTTCCCAGAGAAGAAACCCCCAGGCACAGACCTCCGCAGGAACCAGGACTGAAGTAGAAAAACCCAGACTACAGCGAGGGAGCTGCTGGGATCAGTGCGTCTGCACATGAGTTAGAAACCCTGGGAGGATCCAGCCACCAGAGCCCCTGCACTTCCAGGACTGGTACTTCTCGAAGCTTGAGCAAGTCCTCTTACGCTCTGGCAGGGGAGGAGTGAAGAATCTCTTCTGAGAGACCCCAGAGCTCTGTTCTTCTCAGCAAGACCCTGGCCTCACAAACATCCAGTTCCCAGACCCTAACCTGCTGAGGGAAGGGAAACAGCCAACTCCAGCCACTCTGGCCGTCCTGTGCCACTGAAGGGGGAGGCGGCTGGGACACCCACGTGAAGTCCACAGTCCAAGGTACAAACTCGCTGAGAGGCTGAGGGCTGTAGAGCACAGTCCCCTCCAGCTTACCACCATGTCTCTAAAGTTCCTTGTAGCAGGAGCATCGCTGCTAAAAAATGATGAGACGTTTACTAAAAGATACAGGATGAAAGACAAGGCAGGCATCAGAATGAGGCTCGGCTGTCTCAGTGATGCTGGAATGATCATATTGGAATTTAAAACGACTGTGATTAACACACAAACAGGCTGTGCTCTGAACATCGATGCCTCCCCAAATTCATGTCATGGCACCTAACACCCAATGTCATAGTATTAAGAGGTGGGGCCTTTACGGGGTTTTTAGGTCACAAGGAAGGGCTCAATCAGCATGAATGGAGTTAGCGCCCTTGTCCAAGAAGCCTGAGGGAGCCCCTTGCCCCTCCCTGGGGGAGGATGCAGCAAGAAGGTGCCTTCCGTGGAGCAGAGAGCCAGCCTCCCCAGCACCGTCATCTTTGACTTCCCGGCCTCCGTAACCATGAGAAGTAATTTCCGTTGTTTACAGATTACCCAGCCCAAGGTAGTTTGTTATAGGCACTGAGCAGATGGAGACAGAGGGGCTGTGGTGGATAAAGCAGGCTGTGGACAAGAACAGATGAGCAGTGAGGGCAGAGAAAAGGAAATCCTAAGAAACAGTAAAGAAAGACTAGAAGTCAAAAACGGAAATGACAAATGCCTTGGATGGGCAGTGGTAGACTGGACATGACCGAGGAAGGAATGTCAGTGTTAGGGTACGTAGATAGAAATTGCCCAAAGTGCAAAGACAGCAAAGATCAAGACCAAAAAGAACGAGCGAGAAATGTGGGACAACCACAAAAGGTGTAACGTGTTATGGAAATACCGGAAGACAAAGAAAAAAAGGGAAACACTTGGAACAATAATAATCACAGAGAATGTTAATGTCAGACACCAGACTACGGACCTTGGAAGCTCAGAGAACACTGAGCAGGAAAAATGGAAAAATAAAATAAAAGCCAACCTACCACACCTGTACATATCACATCAAACTATAGGAAATCAAAGACCAGACATAAGCCTTTAAAAAGCACCTTCTTTATAGAGGGCTGGAGGCAAGCATTATCCCAGATTTCTTCTCAGGAGCCTTGCAAGAAGAGAATGAGCGAAATATTGAAGGGGGGGGGATGCTTCCCAACTAGAATTCTATACCCAGTGAAATTATCATTCAGGTTTAAGGGGATAAAAAATGACTTTGTCAGGTAAAAAGTTTAAGAAAGTTGCTGCCAGTAAACCTCTCTTGTAAGAAACATTAAAATAAATTCTTTAGAGAGAAGGGAGATAATAAAGTCAGAAACTTGGATCCACATGGAGAAAGGAAGAGCACCAAGGAATAAGTGAAAGTAAACTATAAATTCATAATTTTCTTATTTCTTGATTGATAGCTGTTCATTCAAAGTAACAAGTGTGTTCAATTTTTCTGTATGTGTGTATATGTATATCAGAACACATACACACACACACTTACCTATAAGTGAAATTAATCACAATAATTATATAAGAAATGAGAAGACAAGTCCAAATCCTGCTAATGCATCATGGGAAACAGCAGGGGACGTTTCAGCTACTTGGATCCCTGCCACCCCTGTGGGAGACCCTGAATTGAGTTCCCAGCTCACGGCTTCCACTTGGTTCAGCCCAAGCTGCCTCAGGCATTTGGGAAGAGAACCAGTCAAAGGCAGATCTCTCTGTCTCGATCCTTCTGCCTTTCAAATAAATAAAAACAAATTAATTAATTTCACATCTTTTTAAAGATAATTTTATTTTGGTACAAACAATTTTTGAATCCATGCATAATTTTTTCACAGCATCATTTTCCATGAATTTTTTAAAAAGATTTATTTTATTTATTTGAAAAACAGAGTTACAGAGAGAGGTAGAGACAGAGAGGGAGGTCTTCCATCCGCTGGTCCACTCCCCAGATGGCAGCAACGGCTGCAGCTGCGCCAATCTGAAGCTGAGAGCCAGGAGCCTCCTCCAGGTCTCCCACGTGGGTGCAAGGGCCCAAGGACTTGGGCCATCTTCTACTGCTTTCCCAGGCCATAGCAGAGAGCTGGATTGGAAGAGGAACAACTGGGACTAGAATCAGCGCCCATATGGGAAGCCAACGCTTCAGGCCAGGGCTTTAACCCACTTGCCACAGTGCCAGCCCCTCCATGAATTTTTAAAAGATTTCTTGAAGTTTGCAAATGAGGTAAACCACTACAAAAGGGGGGTATAACTGATACACTAATAAAAGAGAGAAATGCAAACATTAAAAAATGCTAAATGGAAAGCACAAAAATGCAGAAAAGAATAGAAAGACAAAAATAAAAAGAATGAGGTTAACAAAAAGGGAGCAATAATGAATGTGATAGATAAAAACACAACTGAGTGAGTGCTAACTCTGAACATCAGTGGATCTAAATATAGCAATTGAAGACCAGAGATTGTCAAAGTGGATCAAGAAAAATGACGCTGCTGCTTGTTGTCTATAAGAAATCTACTTAAATATAAAGATCCATGTAGATTAAGAGTAAATGGGGTTGGGGCCGGCATGATGGCGTAACTGGTAAAGCCGCTACCTGCAGTGTCGGCATCCCATATGGGCACTGGTTCGAGTCCTGGCTGCTCCACTTCCAAGCCAGCTCTCTGCTATGGCCTGGGAAAGCAGTGGAAGATGGTCCAATGTGGGAGACACGGGAGAAGCTCCTGGCTCCTTGCTTCAGATCGGCCCAGCTCCGGCCATTGTGGCTATTTGTGGACTAAATCAGCAGATGAAAAAGCTTGCTCTCTCTCTCTGTCTCTCTCCCTCCCTCTCTGTAACTCTGCCTTTCAAATAAATAAATTTAAAAAAAAAAAGAGTAAATGGGTGGACAGAGATATACAATACTAATATTAATCAAAAGAAAGTAAGAACAGCTATGTTAATTTCAGACAGACTTTAAAGCAGGAAAAGTTATTAGAGCTAAAGAGGAGCATTACATACTGATAAATGCATTAATTTTCAAAAAAGACAACAATTCTTAGTGTATATGCAGCTAACAAGAGTGTCTAAGTGATGCAAAAACCTGGTAAGAACTGGGGTGAGCTAGTTTAGCCTAGCAATGATGCTGTGCAAGTCCCACATCAGAGAGCACTTAAGGTTTTTTTGTTTTGTTTTGTTTTGTTTTGTTTTGTTTTATAAGTAGAGTTATAGACAGTGAGAGAGAGAGACAGAGAGAAAGGTCTTCCTTCTGTTGGTTCACTCCCCAAATGGCCGCTGCAGCCGGTACTGAGCCAATCCGAAGCCAGGAGCCAGGTGCTTCTTCCTGGTCTCCCATGCGGGTGCAGGGCCCAAGCACCTGGGCCATCCTCCACTGCCCTCATGGGCCACAGCAGAGAGCTGGACTGGAAGAGGTGCAACCGGGACTGGAACCCGGCGCCCATATGGGATGCCAATGCCGCAGGTGGAGGATTAACCAAGTGAGCCATGGCACCAGCCCCAGCACCTAAGTTTAATACACAGCTCCAGTGCTGGTCATTGTGGTTATCTGGGGAGTGAACCAGCAGATGGAAGATCCCTCTCTCTTCCCACCCTCCACCCCTGTAACTCTGAATTTCCAAAGTAAATAAATAGATCTTTAAAAAAAT